GGTTTAAAAAATTTTTCTTCTGATGTCTGAAGCTGATTGTGTAATGAAACCCATGGTTATCAGGACTCTTCTTTCAGCTGATTCAAGGTTTATATCCGTAGATTTGCTAAAAGCTTCTGTTTGTTTAGGAAACTGGATTCTCAACCTTCCTCTAAGTGATCTCTTAGCATTTATCCTAGATCACTGGTTAGTATACACTGTCTATTGCCCTCAGCTAAGCAGGTGATGAGTATTTGATTTGTCCTCTCAGGATCCCACAACTTTAATCCCACTTGATGTCTTTCTTGGGAATGACCTCACTGCCCACTTTCTGGGTTGGTGATACCCACAGCCACTTCCTTTCCTCCATGATATTTCTACCTTGTTACAGACCTAAAAGGCACGGCATAGCTACCCATGGACAGAGACCCTGAAATTGTGAAGCCACATTAATCTTTCTACCATTAAACTATATCTCCAACATATGTATCACAGTGACAAAAGTCTAAGACAGAAAACTGGTACCAGAGAAGTGTGGTCATTCTTGTGACTTTACTTGATGATGTGGTTCAGGAATTTTTGGAACAGTTTTGTGTGAGGACATTGGAAATGTTTGGAGAAGTGGGCTAGAGACATCCTAGAATGATGTAAGTTGAGTTTAGTGGGATACTCTGGGAGCTCAGAACACCAGTAGGACTGCAGATGTTAGAAGCTGTTCTTACAAAGTTCAGATGGTAGTAGGACTCTGTTGGGAAATGAAAAAAGAAAACAGCTGTACTTGATACTGTGCTTTTATAACTTCATTAAATATTAGATAAACATGGTGTAGAAATTAAGTTTTTGTGTCTTTACAATCTGTATTTAATATTTTGAAAAGATACAATAAAGGGTATGAGATGGCTATAAAAGATTGTAAAGGATAAAAAGATCTTTTATGCTACCTTGTGGTCTAGAACATGTCTGAATGTTGTTCATGTCCTGAGCCTTTTCGTGAGGTTGAGTTTAAATGTGACAGGTGATAATAATGAATCTGGCAGGGAAATTTGGAGGTGGCCCAGCATTCAAGTGTGTCATGGGCCTTGTTAGCCACTTTTAACCAGGGCTAATGTGTGAATTAACAAACAAAAGACAAAAACACAGTTCTGAATAAGGTGCAATTTGGCCAGAAAAAGAGTGCCTTGAAAATTGTAGAGAAGAGGGTGTGGTTATGAAAGCTTTTAGGGCTATTAAAAATAAATCTTCACTTTGCATCATGTTAACAGGAAGATGCCTTAAAGGCATCTCAGAAATTGGCCAGATCACTCCTATCTCAGGCTACAGGTTCTAAAATGTTAAACTTGAAAGAGAAGACAGCCTGGGACTATCACTAGTCAGCATTGCCATGGAGGATCTTTTCTCTAGGGTTTTTTTTTCAGCGAAGTTACCCAGTTACTACGAGGACATTGATGCCGTGGCCTATGGTGGCCCTGATACTGCTCACACTCTGCTCACTGAACATGCAGAATACAAGAGCTGTGCTGTCACAGAGACTTGCACAGATTTCAAGGAGGCATTGTGGAACAGGGTAGAAGCTCTGAGGGTGATCCCTGAGAGGGAGATGCACAAATCTGTTAGTGAATCCAAAGCTACAGTGGGGAGCCCAGGATGTTGGAGATGCCAGGGACATGGATCATCTACCTGAGCAAGCTGCAGACAGCAAATGCAGCCATCCCAGAAGAGGTCATGTGGACTGCAGTCAGCAAGGCCAGGGGTGGGGTTACATTCTCCATGGAGCTCATATCACATTACTTCATGTCCAGGTTGCAGAACATGGAGCTTCAGGACTTAATGTTTGCTCTGCTGGGCTTGGTATTGCTTTGGGATTAGTATTCCTTTAGCCCTGTCCTTCCTTCCTATGTCTCCATTTCTCCCTTTTAGAATGGGAAAGTTTATTCTGTGCTATTGTAACATGTAAGGTTTTTTTTTTTGTTTGTTTGTTTTTTTTTTTTATTCTGTAGGGAGTCACAGCTAAGAGTTTGTCCTGAGTCTTAGATGAACATTTGTTGTTCTTTTGAGAAATACTGGTGTAATGGAAATCTCTGCTTTCAAATCAGGCACCAGGGATAGAGTGGAAGATCACAGCTTTAATTACTGCCAGCAGGGACCCAGGAGAGTCATCTCCAAACCCTGAGCACCAGATAGCAGCTTTTAAAGTATTTATAGACAATCCAGCATTATTCTAGACCCACTCTGATGTTGGTGGATTTGAATTTCTACTTATGTAACTTTGGACCATCTTGGCACAGAGATGTCTAGCCTGCATGTCAGGAACCACGAGCTGGAACACCAAATAGGAAGTGTTTTCAGAAACAGAAATAGGAAGTTTAGATAAACAGCTGTTTTCTTAGACAAGCAGGGGGCTTGTCCCTTAGGCAACCTGCTCTGAGTTTTCCTCAGTTAATTTTAGTTTTCTTCCTCACTGGAGCTGTTGAAACTGGAGAAGGAATAGTTCAGCTCTAGTTTATGCAGGACAGTTACAATGTGGTGGGTAATATTATGACATTGCTATTGTCTTTATGTGGAGATTAAGTATGCCTTAAGGAGATGTGTTGAAAAGTTATTGTGACAAGGGTTAGATTTGCATCAGTTAATGCTGAGTATTAATTGAATGGACTGAGAGATCTCAGAGGGATTAGTAAACTTTTTTGTGTATCTGTGATGATGTTTCCGAGGTCCTGGTTGATGCATCGATGAATGAAAAAATGTGAATAACCTATTGGGAAATGGTGGAACTGTGGAAAATGACTTGCTTTGAGGAAGGTAGTCACTGGGGACATGCCTTTGAAGGGAATATCTCGGCCTCTTGGTTCCTTTCTAGATCTTATTTGCTTCCTGACTTCTGAGGTGAAAAAATTTCTTCCATCATGCCTGTCCACCATGATGCATCTATGAGAGACCTAAAAGCAATGGAAAAGTCAGGCTACCGTGTAATTAGATTTTTGAGATCATGACTCATAATAGATCTTTTCTCTTTCAGATTGTTTATTCTGGGTATTAGTCAAAACAACAAAGTCTGACTAACTCAGGAGAGTAGTAGGGGGACAGGAGAAGGGTCAGAGCCTGGCTTCACTGAATGGTTAGTAAAAAAGGTTACCTAGAATATCCACCTCTCCAGGAAGAGGAGTTTTAGGAAGGATGGATGCCACATGGACTCTGCAGAAACCCTTGTGCTTAGGATCTTCATGTAGGGTCCTAAAAGAACATAGAAATATTCTCCCCAGTTTTTGTCTCTTTCAGTAGGGTTCTAGGTGTAAACATGGAGTTCAAATGAAGGGAACCATGTTGAACCCAGGGATGCAACCATGATGCTGCCTTTCCTTTAGGATGTCTGAATTAAAATTTCTCCAAATCAAGCAGCAGACACTGCACAGGGGACTCTTCAGATGAATGCTGTTATTGTTGCCCAGATCCTAAGATTTCTGAGACAGCAGTGTGGGAAATATAAATAGAATGTACTTACTGTCTTTTCTTTCAAAGGGAGTTTTATTTTTATGATGGGAAACAAAAGCTTCAAGAATTAACTGAAATCTACCTTTTCTTTATGTCTGATATGTTCTTCCCAGTGGGGACCTGTTGAATCTCAGGCTGTGACCCTTGAACCAACTCACAGGCTAACATTTGTGTAAGATCAAAGTATGTATTCAAACTTGTTCACTGTGCTCAACAGCTCCCTTTCCCTTTACACGTTGTAAAAATAGGAATGTAAGAGATGAAGTCCTCTGTCACAACATTTTAAACTATATACTTTCTTTTCAGTACCCTTGTTCATAGCTAATGTTTAACGTTATTTGTTTCTTACCACGTCAATTATAACTTGCAACACTATAGTGTGTTTCCCCATCTGCAACACCCTCCTTCCCCTTCCACTTTTATGACTGTGGCTATGTACCAGGGCCCTCACACACGCTAATATTCTGACCCGTGTGACTCGGGTTACCTGCCAAAACACCACATTGTCAAATTTTAAAGATTCTTACTAAAATGCTTCCTGCTGCTTTAAACTGGCCAATTGGGTTTAGATTGTGCTGTTGAACCTGGACTAATGTGGGATAGCCGAGCTCTCTTTTGTGTTAGGTGTAAAAGGGAAAGGTCATTTTAACAAGGTGTGCTTACTGGATTCAGGGTGACTTGACACCCTTCTGCAGAAGTAAAAACTTTTTGCTTTGCCAAAATGCTTTAGATTATGTGGTCATTTTCTTGGAACCCCATACCCATTTATTTTTTATTTTTTATTTTTTTTTTTGGTCTTTTTTGAGACAATGTCTCCCTGTAGCCCCAGCTGTCCTGGAACTTGCTATGTAGACCAGGCTGGCCTTGAACTCACAGAGATCCGCCTGCTTCTGCCTCCTGAGTACTGGGATTAAAGGTGTACGCCACCACGCCTGGCTTTATTTTTTAATATTTTATTTACTATTTTTTTGTGTATGAGTGTATTGCCTGCATGTATGCAAGTGCATCTGTGCCATACAATGTCTATGGGAGTCAGAAGATGGCTTCGGATCCCCTGGAACTAGAGTTACAGACAGTTGTTAGATGCCATGTGGGTGCTGGAAATTGAATCTGGGTTCTCTGCAAGAGCAGCCAGTGCTCTTAACCACTGAACCATCTCTCCAGCTCCCCAAATCCATTTCTAATAGTAGCAAAACTTACCTACAGATTGATGAAAGAAGCGTTAAATCCAGATTATGTTTATGACAAAATGAAACTAAGATCACTGCTCATATGGCTAAACTTTAAGGTTTTAGCAACTTGGGTTTTCAAAGGTACCGCTCTCTATTTTTACCCCATTTATTGGGATAAAGTTAACTCACAGGTGTTACATTCCAGAGCTTCAGTTTTTCAAGTTGAAAACTCTCTTTGGATAATGCTGCGGGATGGCTGCACAACAGTGTAAATACAATTAATGCCACCTGACTGTACATGTAGACGTGGTTAAGCCTACGGCATTATTTGGAGAAAAATATAAAATACTACCTGGTTACTGTTGAAAATTTATTTTTTTAAACACAGAACAAATATATCCTTTCATGCTCATCCCCCGAAGATTTCTTTCAGTTGCAGCAGATTTCAAAAACTTTAACAGAAACAAAACCTTTTGATCTTCCCAGAATCTGGTCACAGGGAGCAGAGCTCGGCACCCATACCCTGCTACCACTCCCCCCGCCCCCCGCCCTTTCTCTAAAAGCCCACAGCCAGGAACTTGTGGCTTGTGGACAGCTGGGCTTCCCCATCATCCCATTCCTTTGTAATTTTTTGTGGTTCTGCTTTGAGCATTTCACTGCATGCCTGCATCACCCAAAGGGGGTCAGGGCCAGAAAAAGAAGATTTTTTTTTGGCTTTGGGCTTCGCAATCATAGTCTGGTTGCTAGATTTGGAATTATTTTTGAAAAATACATAATTAGGCAGACCTAGGGAGGAGGAAGTCCCTAATGCCACCAATCAAAGGTCAGTGGGAGACTGGAGAGATGCTCAGCTATTATGAGCGCTTGCCTCTCTTCCAGAGGACCCGAGTTCAGGTCCCAGAACCCATGTTATGTGTCTTACAACCTACTGTGTAATTCCAGCTCTAGGGACTATGAGACCCTCTTCTGATCTCCATGGGGGGTGCCCATGGAACACACATACATCTACACATAAATAAAAATAAATTCTCAAAAAAAGGGGGGGGGAGTTGACAGTTTGGTGGACATTCTAAGCCTATGCCTGGACGAGGGTGGCCTGTACATTTCAGGGGCAACAGTGCTGTGGTTTGTTTATAACTTGAATGTACTCCTTAGGGCTTTTTGTGATGGAGACATGGTCTTCAGTGTGGGGTGTGAGGACATGGTGGGACTTTGAAGAGGTAGGGCCTGGGAGGTAGAGGTCACAAGGCTATCCCGTCCATGTGCTCCAGCTTCCTGTCTCTTGATGTGGCCTCTTCCTCTAGCAAGCACTACCATTTTCATACCATCCCTGAGAGGTGATGCAGTCTGGGGCTCTCAGCTGTCCACAGTTTGTTCAGCACATCTCCCCTGATCTCCGTGATGCTCAGGGAAAGAAAATTCACTGAGTAAGACACTCATATAGCCAAGTTAGTTTCTGTAACTTCTGCTCTAGGTCCCAAGCCTGACGTCGCAGCTCCGCAGCAGACTCTGCCTTTGCCCCCTCCTGCAAATGCTTTGACTCTTTCACAAGGCTGACCACATCCATCAGAAGGAAGACACCTGCAGTTGCTGCACCCATGATCCGGGCTCCTCTGGTCATTGCCAGAGCAGTACCTCCAAAGGCTTTCTGCACCTGTTTAGTGCTTCGGGCCGAGATCCTCCCTGTGGTCATGAGGTGCTTGGCATTGGCTGCTAAGTGAGGGTTGTCTTTGGCCAGCTGGATGGCATGGATATTCTTCTCAATGCGTTGTAGGGTTTGGAAGCAATTCTTGGATAAGGAAACAACTTTGTTTATGTTTGAATCATCTCCTTTAATGTCTTTCACAGTGTCCTTCCTGATTGATACTAGGTGACTGGCTTTTGCTTCAGCTGACAACCTGGTTGAGTAGTCCATAATACCTGTAGAAACCTTAGTCACATCAGCCACTGCTCCCAGCCCCATCCCAGTGGCTGAAAGCATCAGACTGACCCCTGCTGTCACAGGTGCCAGAGCGAAGCCAAGGATCGTCAGGACTCCGGATGCAGCACTGGTGTAGTGGGCAACAATGTTGGAGATGGTGCAGTCCCTGTGCACCTTGTCAATCTTATCTGCAAGGGTGTAGAGCTTTCTAATGAGCTCCTCGAGCTCCAGTTTAACCCGAGGATAATCATTCAAAAAGTTCTCCTTGTCCCACAGGTCATTTTGAAGCCGGTCTTTCTCCTCCACATCCGCATTTGCTATAAGCTCACTCAAAGATTCACGTAGAGCATCTTCCTGTTCCCTGTAACAGTAGAAGCCAACCTAGTAAGAAAGACTTTATTTGTAAGATGTGTTCTATAAGATCTACCCTATGGAAGTCAGAGAGCATTTATGTGAATCAAATGGTAGAGAATTTTACAGATGTATAGAAATGAACATGCCTGCTTTGTCACGTGCCAGGTGTTTAATGAAGATGCCTTCCCCCTCAAGGCCAATGTCATCACTACCAAAATACTTCTCCTATGGGAAATCTCTAAATGAGCACATGGAAGTGGGGTTGAAAAAGAGCAATCCCCTTTCTCCATAGACTGTGAGAATGCTGTGAATAGTTCAACGTCCCCCTAAGAAAGCCTTTCCCTTTCTAGGCCTGCAAAGTCCTGCCTGCCAGGAATAGCTGTGTTTCCATTAGCAAATTTGGCCATGAAACCATATAGGTTATGCATTTCTAAGAGCAAAATCCCAAATCTGAAATTATCCAGAATCAGAACCTTTTGATCACTCCAATGATATCACGAGTAGAAAGTTCCATACTTGGCCCAATGATGCAGGCTGCAGTTAAGTCATGTCTACTCCAAACATATGCTATGTAATTACTTTCCAGATATGTGCATAAGACAGAGAAACATGAATGAATTCACTGTTCAGACCTGGTCCCAAACCCAAGGTATTCAGTATATCTCTCCAGCTATTTCAATAGCAGGTCAAATTGAGAAGGCGAGACACTTAAGTTCCCAAGCACTTCTCATGAGGAACTTTCAGTCTGAAAAATGTGGTATGTGGTACAGATTTTGCTGTTATTTCTGATCTCCAGAGGAACTAGACTTTAAAGGCATTGATCTTCAGGAGGGAGGGAGACTGCAGGTCAGTCATGGGAACAGTATGTGACCAAAGTCTAACAAAAATCCTATACATAAAAGCCTAGGTTGACAGGCTCTTTGATGAAAATTTAATTAGGCTTTTGTAAACCGTCTTTCCAGTAAGGATTGACTTGGCTTTCCATGCCTTCCTGTCCTTGTTGGACCTGCACTGCCCAGGCTTGGCAAGAATCTGTCAGGTTTGTGAGAACACCCTTGATCAAGTTCCCATGCCCAACTTTTGATATGTTAAGCTTTGAAGTGCCCTCAGGAAAGGTCTCATGAGGGTACTTCACAATGACCCTTCTCTGTGCTAGCTGCTGCTGCCCACTGAGTCTGCTGTCTACAAATACCCATCTGAATCTGTGTGTCTTGACCTTTTCCCTCTAGGGTAATGATCTTGATCATTCTTGAATTGTTTTTTAGAAAAGTATTTATTTTTATTTTATGCATATGAGTGTTATGCCTGCATGTATGCAAGTGCACCTGTATCATGTAGTGCCCGTGGAGGACAGAAGAGGGTGTTGAATCCCCTGGAATTGGAGTTATGGATGGTTGTTAGCCACCATGTGGGTGTTGGGATTCGAACTCAGATCTTCTCCAAGAACAGCCAGTGCTCTTAACTGCTGAGCCATCTCTCTAGCCCCCATTCTTGATTGCTTTAGCTTGCTTCAGAATACTATTTTTTTCCCCAAGGTAAGCTTCCCTGGTGGACAATACTCCATGTGAACTTCA